CGAAGAAAATTGATCCTTTGTTGGCATTTTCGTCTCAGATACTCAATGTGGGATCTCCAGGTGCATTTGGAATCGAACCAGACCCCAAGATATTTGAAAGACATGGAATGAGTGATCGGCCTACCCAAAAGTTGAAGCTTCGGTTGTGCTGGGCTATGCTTCCTAGAAAAAACGACCAACTCAGTTTTCTCCGTGGAGAATTCGATACCTAGCTGAATAGCCCAAGTAGACAAATTGTCTAAGGTATCCTGTAAGGGTCCTTGCAGGTCGGCCTCTCTGGGCCCTGTCATAGACACCACTCCGTCATCTGCAAGTTGTCTCAGCGTGCAGTTGTCACTTAGACAATTGTCAATTTCTCTGACGTAGAAATTATACAAAAGGGGGCTTAAACATGAGCCCTGGGGGAGGCCCATGTAACTAAATCGAGAAGCTGTAGAGTTTCCATGAGAAAAGCTCATATGTTTCTCTGACAGCAAATTGTACAAAAAGTTATTAATTAATGGAGAAAGGCCACATGCGTGGAATTTGTCTGAAAGGACCTCAACCGATACTGAATCAAAAGCCCCCTTAATATCCAAGAACACAGAAGCCATTTGCTCTTTTTTAGCAAAAGCCAACTGAATTTCGGTGGAAAGCAACGCGAGACAGTCGTTCGTTCCCTTGCCCCTACGGAAACCAAATTGAGTATCTGAGAGTAGGTGGTTCGTCTCAACCCATTTGTCCAAGCGAAAAAGGATCATTTTCTCCAACAATTTTCGAATGCACGATAACATCGCGATGGGACGATACGAGTTATGATCTGAAGCCGGTTTTCCAGGCTTTTTAATGGCTATAACTCTCACTTGCCTCCAATCATCCGGAACAATATTGAGCTCTAGGAACTGACAAAACAAGTTCAACATGCGCCTCTTAGCGACGTCTGGGAGGTTCTTCAACAAGTTAAACTTGATTCTATCAGCCCCCGGAGCCGAATTGCCACACGAAAGGAGCGCGAGTGAGAGCTCCAGCATTGAAAAAGGCTGGCTGATCTCGTCTACCGAATTCGTCGTTTCGCGAGGAATCATCCGTGCCGGCACGGAATCAGGACATACTTTTCGTGCGAACTTAAGAATCCAACGATCTGAGTACTCCTCGCTCTCGTTGTTTGAAGACCGGTTACGCATCCTTCGCGCCGCATTCCACAGCGTATTCATCGACGTTTCGCGCGATAATCCGTCCACGAATTGCCGCCAGTATCCGCGTTTCTTGGCTTTGATGAGGCTTTTGAGTTCGCGTTCAAGAGTCGAGTACGCTTTGAAATACACGGGTGTTCCACGTTTCCGGAAAAGCTTAAACGCGTCGGACTTTTTACGATAAACCTCTGTGCATTGGTGGTCCCACCAAGGGGAAGGAGGTTTCCTACGCAAAGACGTTCCAGGAACCGACCGAGTTTGAGCTCGAAGCGCGCTGTCCAAGATCAGATTGGAGCGGAAGTTATATTCCTCCAACGGTGGAAGCCCTTCTACCGACGACACGGCTTCCTCTATCGCGGTCTTGAACGTTGTCCAATCGATATTACGGGTGAGGTCGTACGCGACGTTAACGGATTCCGACGGATTGAACCCACTGGCAATCGAAATTTTGATCGGCAAGTGATCACTACCGTGGGGATCTTGGATCACATTCCACGTGCAATCCAACGATAATGAGTTAGAGCAAAGTGTGAGGTCTAATTTACTTCCATTCGAGGATGGTCCAGCCAAACGTGTTACTTCTCCATTGTTAAGAATTGTCATATTGAAGTTATCACAGAGGTCATATATAAAAGTAGAACGGTTGTCATCATACAGTTCCCCCCAGCCTGTACCGTGGGAATTAAAATCTCCCATAATCAACCGTGGAGCAGGAAGTACTGAACATATATCTGAAAGTTGTTTTCGATTAACAACGGCTCTAGGAGGAATATAAACAGAAGCAATACAAAGGCTCTTACCTTTAAAAATAGCCTGACATGCGATAACTTCAATACCTGGAAATTGTGGAAGATTCACTCTATAGAAGGAATGGCACTTTTTGATCCCCAAAAGTACCCCTCCTCCACGCGAATCCTCACGATCCAGTCGAATAATGTTAAAATCATAAAAAGGAAGATCAATATCTGAAGAGAGCCAAGTTTCACAAAGAGCAAATGCATCACAATCATTATTGTGAACTAAAAACTTAAAAGAGTCTAATTTAGGAATAAGACTTCGACAATTCCACTGTAGAATAGTGATCAAATCCCCGACCTCGTTTGGAAAATTATCCATCGAAGGAAATGATTGCTGCAAGGAGAGGCCATTTCAATGTCAATTGCTTTAAGAGGGTCTTCACAGTAGGAAGCATTGCCAGAACAATGCTTTTCAGAGGATCAGAAATATTCAGATACTTGAGGATATCGTCCACAATTTTATCAAATGAGAACAACCCAGATGAAGAAGGGGCTTCTGTTCTTAAAAATGGGACATCAGGGGTTTTGGATGTCCCCGAGAGAGGTGGAAAATCCTGGGTATAGTCAGTTCTTCTGAATCCAGGAGGAGTAGAAACTTCCTTTTTTCCACCACTCCTTGATTTGGGCAAGCTGATTTGAGGTTCTTCATTCTCAACTTTCCGCGAACGGATGCGTTTTCGTTTCTGTGCTGAAAAAAGGAAAGAAGTTCCCTCCTCAGCCAAGTCAGAGTCAGTCTCGTCATCTGACAAAAGAGAAAAGGGATTTTTGTCGTTGGTCGATGGCGTGGCCGTCTTAAGCATTTCTGCAAAAGACTGCCGGGAACGTTCCTTAAGTGAGCGTTGTAATTTCTCCCCGCGTTGTTTGTACACCGGGCATGACGAGATACCATGAGGAGTTCCCTTACAGTACACGCATTTTGGTGCAGTGACTGTGCAGGCGCTATCCTCGTGCTTCTCCCCGCATTTGGAACAGCGTGCCTTGCTGCCACAGTGGGACGCCGTGTGTCCCAACTGCTTACAGTTTTGGCAGTTCATGACCCGGGGAACGAACAAGCGCACAGGTAGTCGAAGTTTTCCCAGCTCGATGTAGTGAGGAAGGGCTGAACCAGAAAAGGTCACATGGAACGAGTCTGTGGGGGTAAAACTCTTTTTACCCTCGCTGACAGATACTGAGCCCAGTTTTTGGACATCCAGTATCTTCACCGGGGGAAGCAAACGGTTCTTGAAACGGCCAACCGCCTGCTTCTCCAAGATCTCGGGGGTCAGACTCGCTTCGGTGACCACACCTTCGATCTCCACATCACGAGCTGGGATGTAAACTCTATACTCGAGCGTGAAGAGCTGGGAGGCAGCAATCTCGTTAGCCTGCTTCAGGTTAGAGACGGAGACACGAAGTTTATTGTGCCTAACCTTCGTGATTTCAGTCACGGCCGAGTATCGCTTCGTCAGATCATTCGTAATTTGCATTACATTCAAAGGTTTGTTTCTGGGCTGAAAGTAGACAACCCATGGGCCAGTCGAGTCATCTGGATAGGCTCGCGATCGGGGGTTTATCTGAGCCTGTCCTTTGCCAGACTGAGACGATGAACCAGGGATGACATCATCTTTCTTCTGAGATGACGTACGTTTTCGACCCTTCTTGCCATCGCGTGGCAAAGTGGTGTCATCTTCCGACAAAACGTCCATTTCGTCTTGCGACAAAATGTCCATTTTGCCGTACTAGTGGGAGCGAAAAACGCTCTACCACTGAAACGATAATCACTCGGACACAATACACAAAAAAAAAACTACAAACACAGAACACAAACTTAAAATTTAACAGATGGGCGAAAGAGAGAAACAAGAACAAAAACTTATCTGATACTCCTATACTACTACCACCGAGCGTTTAAACAGTAGCAGCGGAGCGACGCGCAGCGTGGATGATCTTCGATCAGCGTGTGCGGGCGGTCTTCGTTGGTGTGTGCTTGTATGAGGGTTGGCACTCAGCTGAACACACGATGATAGATGAGCGGTGTAAATGCGGAGGCAGATGCTGACACTCGATGACGATGATCCGTGTGCAGGTATGCGTTACCACGCACCGATGGTGCGCAAAATGGTTGGCGAATTGGCAATCGCCAAAACAATTTTCCTTCCGATGATGCCGAAAACACACTTTCTTCTCAGAAAAAACTCACTTTTAGTTAATTGTTTAACTGAGAACTATGTCAGGAAACACTAAGCGAGAAAAACTGATAATTTAAATCAAGTGAATATCGAGAAAACTTCCAAAATAGCGGAGCGCGAACTAAGTCGACCGTACTTCTTGCTAGGACGCAGTGGAGTGAAACAGTTATAATTGTAATTGTATTAATATAAAACACTAAACGCACGACACCAACGCGAAATAATAGCAACAACAAAATAAATACGAACTTAAAAACGAAATTTTAGTATACACTGACCGAATTCTACTCCGATAATCAGATTTAGTATAATTTTGACGAAAATTTTAATAGTAACAATAAATAAATTTCGATTAACCATAAAATGCATAAAATTTAATCTTTACTCGTTTTGTAATATTTTTGAGTGTACTTTGTAGTCATTATTGGGTATTTTGCGGTTACCGTGTAGTGAGCCAATTTAAAATCGATAGTTTCGTATTGCATGATTGTTGGTTCAATCATATCGAATGATTAACAATAAATACTCTCTTTTTATATCCCGTTCACATTACAGCCTATATCACGTAATATAGGCTGTCTTGCAATGAGCACTCATACATAGGATTTCCAGTGAAAACTAGATGTATGAGTGCTCATTACAAGACAGCATATATCACGTGATATACGCTGTAATGTGAACGGGGTATTAAAAAATAATCATCTGATATTAAACTCAGTTTACCCATTTTTGGAAAGGTGCAGTTTTGACCGATCTGGGTGGATTGTACCCAAATTTGGGTAGTTTTGAAATAGCGTGCACTCTGTCAGAGAAGTTGACGTGTCTTGATAAGATCATTCATTCTTCTCCGGATTTTGTTCTGCACGGTTGTTCCGAAAAAATACCGGTATATTTTACAGTGAAAAATCAATCCTTGGAGTATAATTAAACGATTTTCTCGTGCGTACCTCCGCAGAGATATCGTCCATAAAAATGGTGACCCGAAAGCTGTGGCTCCCGTTTGCGGTGCTTGCATTTGGCTTCCTCCACGAAACAATCAGCGTCGATCGGAACAACTTCAAATCCTGTGAACAAAGCAGTTTCTGTCGGTAAGTGTCTGGTTCTGTGGAATTCGTATTATCCTCATTAGACATATTTTTTTCTCGCAGTCGCCTACGTTTGTCAGAACCAGAAACGAGCAAATTTGAGGTCCTTCAGGAAACGCTGCAAACGTACAAGCAGTATATCTTATTGGATCTGCAACATTCAGAAACAAAGCATCTGTACGTGCTTAAGCTGGGAGCAGTGAAGGGTGGAATTTTCCACTTCCAAATAGACGAGAAAAGTCCGTTGAGTGAGAGATATCGCGTCGTTGATGCTTTGGTCAAGGAGCCAGAGTATGTTGGAGTCAAGGTTGAAAGTAGTTCGGCTTCCACAGTCGTTGTTTCCACGGAAGCAGGAACGAATAAAGCAGTGATCCAGGTGGCTCCTTTCAAGATTGATTTCTATAACGGAGAGAGGGTTGTGGTTTCGGCCAATTCGATGGGATTGATGCGATTCGAGCATTTGAGACGAAAGGAAGTGGCACCAGCTGCCCCAGTCGAGAACGAGCAAGAGGATCAGGAAAATGAAGTTCAAGTGGTATGTTCATATTATCATTTCAAGACCAACAATTGAAATGGCCTTAACTCCATTTTGTAAACAAACCTTGTAAGGCCATTTTCTCGCGAACCTAAACCACAATCGGGTAGATGAGAATTTCCCCTACCTGTTCATTATGTTGGTTTGCCTTTGCGGACTTCGGTTCACGAGAAAATGGCCTTACAAGGTTTGTTTACAAAATGTAGTTGAGGCCTTTTCAATTGCTGGTCTTGATTTGTTCTTACCTTACCATGCATATCTTACTTTGTTATAATTGAACGTTAATTATTACCCTTTTTTTTACTGTTCCCTATTTTCTTTATTTCTACTCGCAGAAAGAAGATCCTGGTGCGTGGGAAGAAAACTTCAAAAGCCACCATGATGCCAAGCCGAAGGGACCAGAAGCACTATCTATGGACTTTAGTTTCCCTCAAGGGAAGGTGTTGTTTGGAATTCCGGAACATGCTGATTCATTTGTTCTGAAGCATACTGTTGGCGGAAAGAGTGATCCTTACCGTTTGTACAACCTGGACGTCTTCGAATACGAGTTGGACAATGGGATGGCCCTTTATGGATCGGTTCCAGTTATTTACGGTGCAGGTCCAAGCGCTACCGCTGGAGTATACTGGCAGAATGCGGCTGAAACTTGGGTTGACATTTTCTCTCCCGAGCAAGAGAAGAACGTTATGTCTTCGATAGTCAACTTTGTTTCTAGATCTAACCAAGAAGACACTCCAGCGGCTAATTTCATTTCCGAGAGTGGTATTATTGATGTCTTTGTTCTTGTGGGTCCTCAACCACTGGATGCCTTCCGCCAATACACCGATCTCACCGGAAAAGCTCCTCTCCCACAATTGTTTGCAATTGCGTATCACCAATGCCGTTGGAATTATAATGACGAACAAGATGTGACTACAGTCTCGGCAAAGTTTGACGAACACGATATTCCGATGGACACTATGTGGTTGGATATTGAGTACACGGATAGCAAGAAATACTTCACCTGGGACCATCACAAGTTCCCGCATCCACTGGAAATGATTCGCAATTTGACAGAACGCGGTCGTCATTTGACGATCATCATCGATCCTCACATCAAGCGCGATGGAGGATATTTCTTCCACAATGATTGTACCGATCGTGGTTACTATGTGAAAAATAAGGACGGAAATGACTATGAAGGATGGTGCTGGCCCGGAGCAGCAAGCTATGCCGATTTCTTCAATCCTGTAGTTCGGAAATATTACGGTGATCAGTATCTGTTGGAAAATTTCAAGGAATCTACGGCGGAGGTGGGAATTTGGAACGACATGAACGAACCTTCCGTATTCAATGGGCCAGAAGTGACCATGTTGAAGGACAATATTCACCACGGCGGATGGGAACATCGTGACGTGCATAATTTGTATGGCCATATGCACATTATGGCAACCTACGAAGGACTGATTCAACGAGGTGAAGGTTAGTTACAAACAAATTTAAAAATATCCCTATAGTGAGATATGATTAGGGTTACCATATCAAAAACATGAAAAGGAGGACATTTCATTTGAAGTTTGGAGCTTAAGGAGGACAATGATTCCTTTTTTTAACATTAAAGAAGGACAATGAGTTTTTATCAAACATTTTAATAATATGTGCGCTATCACAAAATTCATGATTTGCAAAGGTTCAATTGATATTGTTTATAGCTTGTAGTCGTTAATTCAATTCATCTTCTCGTTATACTTCTGAAAAATGCATAAAACTAGCCTTTATAATCAATTTTTGATTCTTGGAAATGATCTAGTCCAGCTGATTTGCATGAAAACTACGGCTTTACAGCCTTAAAACCATGCCAACTTTTATCATGTTCAAAAATCAGGATACATGTCATCGCTGATTGAAACCAACGTGGATCATCTAATAGCGAATTCGTTTATTATTCAGTTCCAACCTGGATCGGGTATCAAGATTGGGTCTGCTTGTTTTCTAGCAAACGTCAGTTTTATCGTTTGTTTTTAAAACCTGGCACGGGTCGAGGTTCGCACTGACAAAAAGTTCGGGTTCGCACCAACCAGTTCCAACCCCGATAATAAACGAATTCGCTATAAGCAAGCTGTTAATTTTACCATTGATTCAGCATTGGACTCTATAGTCCGTACCGGTAGTGAGAATTTTGACAATTCTACGAATAGCAACCTTTCTCCCGCGCTGCTAAATTTGGTAACGCGCTTCTCACCGAGAAGCCGGCTGCTATTTTAGTTACTCGTATGGCAACCCCCGATACGGTAGCTGCGCTATGATGAGGGCTGCAAAAATGAGTTTAGCAGCGTACCGTTACGGTTGCTCTAACCAACGCAAACAAACACCATCATCAGGTAGGACTAGCTGGTGTTGTTAGTTTCTTTGAGTGAGCTAGCAGTTGCAACAAATAGTCGATTGAAGTGATTGTTTACAAAATCAGATACGTCGATTTGAATAGTTATGCTTGAAATAACTAAAATCCCATAGAACCAGACTGTCGAAATCGAACACATGTTGGATTAAATCTGTGTAGTTGTGTTCCGTTCGGTGGATTTCAACTTAAATTTGACAGATAGATAGACAGAGAGATTTTCGAACATTATGATTTATTTTCGAAATGTCAATTTTAAGCAAAAATTCAAAAACATTGTGTTCCATTTGATGAATTTTCACGGAAACTTCGAAAATAAATTAAAATGTTCGAAAATCCCTCTGTTGTTGATCGTTCGATTTTCGAGAAATTGTTTGTTAAAATTGATTCCTGGTCTGTCTGAAGTAAGTCTGGTAGAATAGCAGGTTTATTTAAAAATTTACCAACTGTCATATTTAAGTGTAAATTCATCAAATGGACCGCAGCCTAAATGTAAGGGGGTTGACAGCTGTAGTATACTCCTAGTTCCGCCTTTGAATGGCGTTTGCTAGATTAGATGAGGTTGCGACATAATTAAACAAATAAACTCTGGAAAAATAACGCTATTTGAAAACAATTTTATGAATATGTTACTGGAAGAATTGTAAGGATTAAAAAGTAGGACATTTTTGGGCAAAAGGAGGATGTAGAAAAAATATTGAAAAAGAATGACATGTCCTTCTTTAGGATACCATATGGTAACCCTAGATATGATAGTGTTTCAAGTCCGTTAAATTTCTACATGGACCAAACGATAAATCCTCAAAGATCCAGCGTATTTTTTTCTAATTCAATATTAATGTTCTCCTCATATCAAGTCAAATATATACAAGCATTTTTTTTATTATGAGCCGAATAGTTGCTTAATATTATAAAATTTTACCTACGGGAAGTTTATGGAGGAAAATGATCAAAATATATAATATTTGGGGTGGCCAGTTGACTGGAAAATTTTCGTAGAACTCTTGAAATTCCGTAGCTCATCAACCAAGTATAGTAGAAACAAATGTTAAGTTATTTGAAACCAGGGCTGCTTCCACTCACTTGCTATAAAAACATATTTTTCGGAATTATAAAATCATTCAGGGTTGCTTCCACTAACTTGTTGTAAAACATATTTTTAGGAATTATGCAATCATTAGATGATATAATGATATGCTGTACTTGTAAGTAACGAGACGAGGGTTTAAAGTATGTGTTTTACTCATAAAACCTGCCAATTTTGCTTTCAGAGCGTCACAATAAGCTATCCTATGATTCATGAGCGTTCACTCAGAGTGAGCACTCACGAGTTGTAAATTTGCTGATTGTGACGCACTGAAAGCAATATTAACAGATTTTATGTGTCAAACACATACTTCACGTCCTCATCTTGTAACTTACACGTACTAATTATCACTATACCATCTCAGTAACCCTGACATCATTAGATGTTTTTAAGATATTATTTGCTTGTAAATTAAAAGAAGAGGTTGTAAAGTATGTGTTTAATACATGAAGCCTGTCAATTTCGCTTTCAGAGTATCACAATCAGCTCAGAGTGAGCGCTCGCGAGTCGTGAAATCGCTGATTGTGACTATCCAAAAGCGAATTTGGTAGGTTTTATATGTCAAACACTTGCCTTTCAACCTCTTCTTGTATCTAACAAGTACAAAATATCATTATAACATCTAATGATTCCAAAATTGCGAAAATCATTTTTTTATAGCAAACGAGTGGAACCAAGCCTGCTTGAAACATCATCAGAAAGGGCTTCTTTTCAAATCATAAAAATATAAAGTGACCGAAAAATCGGCCGATAGGCTTTTGTGTGGTTCGACCTTTAACCATTTCGGGATTCTGTGATTCGGGCTCTTTCGTAGTAATCCCGTTATATGTGGCCATGATTTATTCGGGATTTAAAAATTTTTTTATTCAATTTTGGATATGCAGATGTGGGAACACCATTTGAAGAAATGGAGCAGTTGGATTTTCGGATGACATGATTTATGTGCTATTATTGCAATTTAGTGTTTCGTCTTACAAATCACGCTGTGATTGAGCTATGTGTTTCTTCCACCGTGTATTTTTAATGTGGAGCTATCCATAAACTACGTAGATAGTTCCGTTTTTGTTTTGTGTGAACGCAGTTGAGGATTGAAATGCCTCAAAAATTTATTACGTAGTTTATGCACAGCCTCTTTGCTCTTAAGTTTCAACACAATGATACTATGAAACTATCGTAATGAATATACTAGTAAAAATCCATTTCTAGGCACCCTTCGTCCGTTCATTTTGACCCGATCGCACTTCGCTGGCAGTCAGCGATTCGCAGCCGTCTGGACTGGCGACAACATGGCCGAGTGGGGTCACCTGCAAGCCTCGATCAAGATGTGCCTCTCGCTTTCGGTTGCCGGTATTAGTTTCTGTGGGGCAGACGTCGGTGGATTTTTCGGTAATCCTGATCCTGAACTATTCTATCGTTGGTATCAAACTGGAGCCTTCCAACCATTCTTCCGTTCACATGCTCACATCGATACTAAGCGTCGCGAACCATGGTTGTACCCAGAGGATGTTAAGCTGATTATCCGAGATGCCATTCGGAAACGCTACCGTCTGCTTCCTCTGTGGTATACAATGTTCTACGAACACGAACGCTCTGGACTACCGATTATGCGTCCAATGTTGGCCCATTACCCGGCTGATTTGAAATGCTACGAACTGGATAGTCAATTCATGCTTTCGGATAAATTACTTGTTGCTCCAGTACTCAAAGCAGGCCAAACGAAGATCGATGTATATTTCCCTGCCAAGGAGAATGGAGAGGCTGATCTCTGGTATGATATGGACAACCACCGCAAATACTCGTCGGTTGGATATGATTCGATTTCGGTAGATACCTACAAGGTGCCTGTATTCCAACGTGGTGGTACTGTGGTTCCTCGCAAAGATCGTATTCGACGATCAGCCACTCTCATGAAGGATGATCCCTTCACATTGGTCGTTGCAATGGATAAGAACACCTTGGCCAAGGGAACCCTGTATATTGACGATGAAACCAGCTTCGATTATCGTTCCGGCAAATACCTGTACCTCGAAGTTGAATTTAAGGACAATGTCCTCAGCAGCAAGTAAGTTATTATCATCTCTTAAACTACTAAGTTTGTTTGTAATCTAACACTTTTCGTTTTTTGTATCTTCACCAGAAAAATTGACTCCACTGCTACCTACTCGACCAAGAGTTGGTTAGAGCGGGTGATTCTAGTTGGCTTGACCAAAACTCCAAAATCTGCAACACTTCACCTGTCCAATGGCGAATCCTCAACGCTGGATGTATACACCGAAGCCGGTGCTATTGTTGTCCGTAAACCGGGCGTTTCGATGCTCGACAATTGGTCGATCAAGTTGAACTATTAAAAGGTTCTTTTCATGGCTCATTTTTTTTAACATAATTACGATGAGAATTACTATCGTCTATTGACTGATCTTCTCATCAAGAAAACAGAGTGTGTTTTAATTTGTAAAGAAAGTGAATGAGATGGTTTGCGCAAAAAAAAAGTTTTATTTTTATTTGGCCACATGATCATAATGCGTTTATAACTACCTAGTAGATCATTTAGTGTACCATCAACGAAAAGATCATTCGTAATTGTAGACAAATTTAGGAGAAGAAAAAAAAACACTTCATTGAAAGCATGTAACTTGCAAAGTAAAGCATTAGAATAATAATAGTGTTGTAAAACCGAAAATAATACCTTCTTTCAGAAAGAAAATCTTTTTAGTCTCATATCTTTTACTAGCCAACGGAGCTAATCACCCATATTGTCGTTTTCGTATTTGTCATACAAAAAAAAAAAGCTTTTGGACCATAAATTTCGAACGAGGATATGGAATGCCTTGTTCAGGCAGGTTCAAACTAAAGCTATAATTACATGGTGTACTACCCTACCATTGGTTACTTTTTCACCTTGCCGAACGTAAAAGGGCGTTACTACGGAAGATCGAATCAATAAAGGACGAAATACACGAAAGCCCGAATCACATAAGGCTGAACCACAAATGGCTGAAAAAATTCGGCCAAGTGCACCGGAGTAAGCGAGCGTACCCACTAGGCCGCTCTGTCGATTTTTTGGCCTATTATGTTATTTTTATAGAAAACAACACTAATAACCATTTAGGCTGTATAAACTAATATTGAGCAAAAGTAAAAGTTAAAACATTTTTTTTAGAAATTGGTTGGACATTCATAGTTGTTTTATGCTCACATAAATATACTTTCTTAGATCTAAGCCTAAATTCTGAGTTTTTTTCAAAATACATCTCAACCCTCATAAGATGTTAAGACTCATAAACGTAGGAAAAGTTGCGTCCATTTAATTTCGTTTCGGCTATTCATGTCAACAAGTGGTTCAGTGGGCGAAAACCAACAAGAAGGTCGACAATCGTTGTTTTTATTCACATCGTCGTGATTTTGCGCTGTGAAATTTGATGATTTTTTATCACACGGGTTATCGTTCTTCGTTTTTCCCGTTCTGTAGACTTGCAAAATTTTCCGGTTGTTAGTGGAAAGTGCAGTTCGTTGCGATAATCGTCTATTTGGAGCATATTCCGTGTTGTGAAAACAGTAAAAAAGTTATCTAATCGGTCATCTCGTAGTGTTTACTGTTGTGTTATTGTCTGGGGGGGGGGGGATGTGCTGTCAAATCAGCCTACTGATCATCTTGTATGAAACTGGTTCCAAACGTAAACAAACGCTGTAGGTTTCTTACGTTTGGAACCAGTTATGCGAGGTAGGCGACGATTGTTCGTATTTGACAGCCACCTCCCCCCCTTGGTTATTGTCGATATCAGACGCGCTGCAGAATCCAACTCCTCCTTGCGTATTAGAGCATCTCCACCGCTGTTTCTAAATTAGATTTGGAAACTGAGTCAGCATGACTTCCGCCTGTGACCAATGCGCGAAACCAGTTAAAGGCTATGAAGAATCTGTCTCGTGCATGGCTTTTTGCGACAGGATGATTCACCTGAAATGCGGCGGCACAAAGTTGAACAAGGCTTTTCTGAATATTGTCCACACTAGCCCGAACTTATTTTGGATGTGCAACGAGTGCACGAAGCTGATGAAATGTTCCCGGTTCAAAACTGCTGTCGTTTGGTAGTGCGATTAATTCTATCACCGAGAAACAGGAAATTGCACACGCTGAGCTTAGGAAGGAAATGACTAAGGAAGGACAGCCGATCGCTCAGCTGTCGAAACGAATCACATTGACAACTCCAACACACTTGAGTTCCAGCGATCTTATGCGGTCAACCACCATTAAAATGGCGCCGCGATGAAGGCTCGCTCACCAGCAAACCACTTGTTGGTGGTACTAAAGCAGTAACGGGTGACAATTTCTTTACCGAGATCCTTATTGTCTCTGAACCCACCGAGCTGTTTTGGCTGTACCTTTCTCACGTAAAATCGGAATCAATCGAGAAGCTGGTCAAAGGTTGTGTACAGTGCGATCACAGAACAGAAGGAGAAGTGCAAACAAATCGGTGAATCAAAAAGTGTTCGTTTTTCTGCTCAACAAGCGATGTGTTGTGGTAGCGTTCCACAGGGCTTTCTATGTGCACTCACACTATCATAGCATGCTGCCTATCTTAACTGCAGGCAGAAGATGCCTTCTACCGCTAGGTGCGCTAGTGTTCGCAAATGACAAGTGGAGCCACTTTCTGATCCAAAGTTCCACTCCTGTGGTGCGATGATCCGATTAAGGTTGTGCCACTAGTTAAAAAAGGATCCGACATCAGCCGTATGTGTTACATATCATACAAAGTCGGATTGGCTCCCAAATACGTGAAGTTGCTCTTACATCGGATACATGGCCGAAAGAAATTTTGTTCCGTGAATTTGAAGACGGTTAAAAAAACATGTGGGTGCCTCGTTTGAACACGCCTGCCATCACGATCTCTCCTGTTCCGGGAACTTCCGAGTTCTCAACTCCCATCTCCGGACTAGACCCAATATGCTGATTCAGAATTTGGATGCCGCGTTGTGAATTGGAACGCTGTAAACCAGAACGCACTGCCTGTCGCATTATGGGAGACCTCGAACCACTCGATCCAGTCGCGCTAGCTGTTTCCGGCCATCAAAGTCGTTCTATTTCCTGTCGTTCTGGACCTGCGGTCGAGTTCGGTGGTGGGGTCTCCTAACCATCGTCTTGAGGCAAGTATGCATACATTAGTTACAGTAATTTTCCTGATCAGCTTCCGTGTTCCAGTGCAATGCCTCAAGCATCTGCCGGCTGTTTACCAGATGAGAAGCACTTCTGATACTGCTCTTTCACAACATCCGCTTTACTGTTCGAACAATCCTAATTCATAACCGGGACGCACAATAGATCGCTGTTTGGAAGCTCCTGGTTCCTCCAGCCCAGTCTTGCCGATTTCTGCCAGCGTTCAGCACAGTCCTCCTGGACCTATGGCTGGATATGAATGAGGAGTTTTCCACCTTGCCTCTACAGGCAAGTACAATCAATATGTTGACTATTCACTGCCTGATGCCGATCAAATTTTCAGCAATTCGGACTATGTTAGTCATTGTGATGATGCGTCTGTAATTCCAAATCCTGGGAATCCGGAACGCGCCGTAGAAAGCCCCATGGAAGCTCCCAATCCCTCCGTCTCAGTCCTGCCATCAGCAGCCTTCGTTCATCATAGTCGTTTCGGACCTGCTGTCGGATGTGGTAAGGGGGTCTTCCAGCCCACTCACTATGGCGATGATGGTCAGTTATTGCCTGATGTATCTGTGATTTCCAGGGAGAGCAGTCGTTCGATTCCTTGCCGCAAGCAGGACGTCGTGATCTTCTACCAAAACGCCGGTGGAATGAATTCGGATGTTGAAGAGTACCGCCTAGCTGTATCGGATTGTTGCTACGATGTAATTGTCCTCTGCGAAACGTGGCTCGTGTAGTTAACGAAAATGATCGTAGTTTGGACCTTTGCTTCGTGAGCACACAGGGCAGGGCTTAATTAATTTACTCATTGTGCACTAACTAAGCTAGTTCCACATCACCATACTCTAATTATCACTGTTGAGGACAAACTCGTGCGTGATTTTGACGATTATCCTGCTACGGTTTCTTATGACTTCGGTAAAGCTGACCACCGTAGCATCATAGATGTATTGTCTAGCAGGGCTTGTCTGATCACTCAATGCGTGCAATGTACTGATTTTTTGAAATCCACAAAGTGAGAATCAAGCCAACACAAAGTTTGCTTGTCTCTCACCCTGCGCAAGTGAAAAGTAGCGGAGAAGAGAATAACGAAAGCTCAATGTGTAGTCATCGCTCCGACGGCTCCGACGCAAAGAGCGCCACTCAGTGTAGGGTTGCAAATGGGAAACCCTGCAAAAGGCAAAATTCTTCGTCGTTATGCTCTTCTTCATCTCCTATGCATGCAGTTGGGGTAAGCAAAGTCCTCAAAGAACCCAAAGAACACATTAACGCTTGTTGTATTACATTCGCTCCCTGCGCCACACGGAGTGTACCGCTCATTGTGTGGATCGCTTTCTCGCAGATTAGGTGGAAAAGAGTGTGCGAAGTAAATGGGAGAATCACACACTCTTTGTCGAGTGTTGTGAGATGCATGCACAAAGTTGCTTTGCTAACGCTCTGCGGCGCTTTCCAGCAATGTTGTCTAGCATGATATTGGAGAACATCCTTGATCCAGATGACGTTGAGGCTGCAGCGCAAACCTTTTCACATGTCTTGGCGTATGTCATTGACAGACACGTCCCGAAAAGAACTCACCACAAAGTGTCTCACAGTTCCTGGCAGACGAGAGAGCTACGTAGGTTGAAGTCAATCAAGAGAGCAGCATTGAGAAGATTTACGAACTATCGCACGCTTCCTCTGAAACTACATTATGTGAGGCTTAATCACATGTACCAGCGAGTCAGTCGTACATGCTTTGCAAGTTTCCAACGAGGCATCCAGCGCAAACTTAAGCTACACCCGAAATCCTTTTGGAACTTCGTGAACGAGCAACGGAATTGGAATTCAACGGAGAAGTTGCTGCCACCGTTCAGGATATATGCCACCTTTTTTCCGAAAAGTTTGCCAGTGTATTCACTAATGAGATACTAACTGACAACCATATTAACCTGGCTGCCAGCAACGTTCCAGTAAATGATCAAACGCTGGGTGCAATTAATGTTAATGCTGAGATGGCCGCGACCCTGCTCAAGTCATCCTTCAATCCTGGACCTGATGGAGTTCCATCTGTATTTTTATATTGCTAGCTTGTTAATTCCGCTTCTTCACCTGTTCCGAATGTCTCTCTCCAGTGGCATATTTCCATCTTGCTGGAAATTTGCGCACATGTTTCCCGTCTACAAAAAAGGAAGGAAACGAGCTGTGGATAATTATCGAGG